AAAGTTACCTCATATCTGGTAGTCATGATTCCAACAACTTTTAATCCAAATAAATAATTCTAACATTTCTTTGTAGCCAAATATATTTGTTTTCAAAAGGTGATATTTTTAATAATCTTAAGTATTTCAAATAAGAAAACATCCAATTTTTTTAGTTTCAAAAAATATACTTTGGAGGTATGTTATTTAAAATTCAAATAATACAATTATTAAAATACATTTATAAATAACTTTACTGTGATGATCATGACCACCATATTTGGCTGCTTGGACATCAACTCTCAAAAGTTAAAGCCAAAAACATCAACACAAGGCCAGGGAGGACAACCGAGATAGGTTGAGAAAAAGATCTAAAATCAGAGTGGTAAAGAAGTTAGGAAGGAAACAGGATTACAAACACTAACAGAGGGTGATGAACAAAGGGCACATGGTAAGGAGTCAGAGCATATCAAACTGATTCAAGCTGGTGAAACAATCTCCCAAGAGTATTCTTCAAATTCATGGTTAACTGTTGATGCCAAAGGAAGAGGATGGAGATCACATCCAGGATGATGGGGAGAAGAAAACTGAAAGTGCCTGAAGGAATTCCAAGGAAAAATCCACTCAACAAGACAGGAGAACTGGTCACAAGAACAGAGGTGACCATGAGCTGATGGAAACAGATTCACCAGAGAATGGTGACACAGTACTCAAAACAGAGAAGGAGGGGTCTCTTTTAACTGCAGTTTATATTCTAAAACAATAAATGTGTTTAGCACCCCTTACCACTGAGCTTGGGGATCATACCATTTAGCCTGAAGACATCATTAAAATGTGTTACCCTAGAAACTAGTAATACACTATATGTTAACTAACTTGAATTTAGAATTTAAAAAAAGGAAAAATTTTTACCCTAAATTAAAATGTTATCAATGTATCAAGTTACCTATCATCACCAATTATAATTGTTATTCCTATACAGGACCACAATGACAGTAAAGTATCACTGTAATTCTTCATAATCAAGGTTTTAAGACAATTGTGGTCTCAAAGTGGAATCAAAGACTCAGGAATTTTAGTTCTTTGCAAGAACTGTCTGGCTAATAGAACAGTAGTGGACTTAATAAAGAATTGTATTTACACCAAATGAAGGTCAGATAACATAGCAAAGATGTTTCTGTAGCAGTCTGGCAAGAGAAAAAAGAAAATTTGAAAGATGGCAGCACATCATAGTATGGACATGGCAAAAAAAAGGGGAGGGGGAGCCAAAAAGAAACACCACCTATATTTACATTTCAAGCAGATTAAATAAAACATCCTCAATTCTAAATTATTTTATATTTTAATTACTCTGTAGTTGAATGAAATTTACTTTGTAATTTTATAAAGCCCTTATACATTTGCATTAGTACAGTTTTATGCATTAGACAATGTTTTAACAATTCAAAACAATGCTGAGTCCACAAGTACTATTTTTCTCCTTAAAGAAGTCCATACATTACTCAAGATTAAGAAATCTAGGCATTTAGATATTTTACTTTTCTTGTGTACTCAATTATTTTCATTTGAGTATTGCAATTACTGAAGAAAAACCTATCACCCACTTTGAATTTGTCTATCACCCACTTTAAATTATCTGGAGTTTTTAAAATTATAGCAACAGAAAGATAATTTATGATAATAAGCTGGACATCTGACAATCATTACTTGGCCAACATGGCTTGAAAAGGAGTAAAACAGTAATACATTTCTTTGTCAGTTATCAACTGTGAAGAAAATCTATTTTTCCTCTATTAAAGACTGCTAAACTACAATTCATCCCACCCTTGTATAATAAAGCATTTACATTTACCTTGCTTGTTGACTGTAAAAGGAGTCGTCTTTGGACCCCCCAAAAATGACATTATCATAACAAATTTTACTACATTTTAATATGAGGATATCCTGTTAAAATCGCATATTATATTGTAAATTTTCCAGGTTATTTTTTTTTTTTTTAAGATTTTTTTATTTGACAGAGAGACACAGCCAAAGAGGGAACACAAGCAGGGCGAGTGGGAAAAGGAGAAGCAGGCCTCCCACGGAGCAGGGAGCCAACCTGATGTGGGGCTCGATCCCAGGACCCCGGGACCACAACCCGAGCCGAAGACAGACACCCAACGACTGAGCCACCCAGGCGCCCCTCCAGGTTACTTTTTTATCTATCGCTTTTAAAAAAGCAATTCTACTACCTGAAGAATATACACTCAATTGTTAACAGTGCTTCTTTATAATCTTTGGAAAAATATTTTTTTTTATTATTTATTTATTTGACAGAGACACAAAGAGCATAAATAGGCGGAGTGGCAGGCAGAGGGAAAGGGAGAAGCAGGCTCTCTGCTGAGCAGGGAGCCGGACATAGGGCTCGATCCCAGAACCCTGGGATCATGACCTGAGCTGAAGGCAGACGCTTAACCAACTGAGCCACCCAGGTGCCCCGAACAAAATATTTTTTATCCAACTACTGCACTGAACAAACTAAAGTTTTTACTCTCAACTCAGTAATTTGCCTCTTTGCTGGCCACAGGTTTCTCATCACTACTGGATTCTTAGTGCCAACTACAAAGTCTTCCTTTGGGGGTAAAATATTAACTTCACTTTTGTGTAATTTCTTGGCTGCAAAAACTTCCAGAGAAACAGCTGTGCATTACTGAACAAGGACAAGATAAAAGAATTCACAAAAGTCTACACTTGGCAGCCAACGGATCCCTGCACGAACCTTACGTGGTATTTGGTCAGTTACTCATTTTAGAAAGAATGATTCCTGGAACCTTTCTAAGTTAAGAAAGTGAGATCTAACTGGCTTTGATCATTGATTTCCAAATGAACTTGCCAAAAAACTCATGGCTCGGTCTTACAGACTACATGGGAAATGAGATGAAGCCTACCCTTAGGAACTTTTTTTGGTGAGAATATCCAACTAAGGATGTAAACACCATGGCAACCTCTTCATATCCACTTATTTTTTTTAAATCATGTACTCACTCCATGAGTTCCCCAAACTCCCTTATTCCACAAATTGATGGTTTTGACGTCATTTCCTGTATCACCAAATACCTTCAAATTTTTCTCTTCAGAAAATGCATATGGTGTATCTTTTATTTTCAACGTTCCACTATACTTTTAAAATAACATTTTCATTGTGAACTATGGTAAGATTTCCATCCACTCAATATAACTTCTATAAGGCATATTAACTTTAGCATAAAAGGTATTTTATTTCCATACATTTCCTGCTTTTTAGTAAACACAGTTCTGGGTGGGAATTAACTGCTAATGCTCATATAAATTCTGTAATACACTGTATCCATTCCATTCCTTTTTATACTGTTTCTATTTTATATACAAAATACATATAGTTTCCAAAATTGTGAGAATTGGAATCTTTTTGTGAAAATAACCAAAAATCAATCAAGATGATACTGGAAAATTACATTGATACTTATCAGAAAAGTAAATCAGTGCCTTTTAGATCTTTCCCAGCAATAAACAATACTATGATTCTACACATAGGTCTAAAAAATATACTTCTAAAATGAAATCAGGGGGGAAAAATTCCTTAAATACCTACCAAATCCCACTATTCATTATAGTAGACTTTATCATTAGTACTTACATTCTTTAAACTGTACATAAGAACACAATCATGTGCTCATTAAAAGGGTTAACATAGTTTTGACCAAAGTCTGTAATTCCATGATGCACCTACCCGAACCACCCAAAGCCATACACACCAAATCTATTAAGGATAATGTACTAATATTTTCCAGCTGTCTCCTCTAAATTTTTAAAACAATATTAACTTCACATGTATTTATCAGTAAAAATATATACAGTGGGAAATATTTAAAATCAATGAATTGGCATTAAGTAATCCAGACCAATAAACCATAGTGAGTAAAACTAATGTACTCTCCAAGCACTTACTCAAATTGAAGTGTGATAAATTCTTTTAAAAGGATAATTTGAAATTATAAATTTCCTCTTTATTACACCCAGAAGACTCAAATACCACGATCCTTACAAATGTTTATGTTCCAAAATTCTGAAAAGTAACACTTAACCCATAACAAATGCCATCACTTTAAAAATATTAGAAAAAATGTTAAAACCAGCAATTCTGAAAACTAGTAACTGAAACCATTAAAACATAACACTGACCTAATAGAAGAAGAATTTCATTTTTGTAATCTTTATTAAATGTGTTGATCATCCCCTAGGATCACAACTGCTAGCCTTTTAAACAAACTTTGAAGGCAATTTTACAGTTCATTTAATACCATACACTCCTATAACCTTAGCCACTTTAGAAAACAAAGGAAAAATTGCTTCAAAAATGCAGTCTTAGAAATGTTACTATAATTAAGAGCGGTTCTATATTAGCTCCTTCTATAATCAACCAGTGTGTTTCAGATTGCCATGTATATCTTGATTGTGACATGCAAAATGGATTCTGCTTTGGAAACTGTCTAATTGGCATGCAAAATTCTGCAGAGATCCATAGTCCTAAAAACAAAACAGGGGAAATAAATATCCTCAGGCCGACTCAGACAACACATACTTGGGGAAAGAAACCCTTTGCAATAGTGGATTTGGAAAGGAAAGAGGACAAGAGATCAAGGTACCGAGATTTTCAGCGCACCAATATAATTTAACATTCAGATGGTTATTAGCTACACTGTATGACAAGACACGCTTCCAAAGTGGAAAAGTAGCTGCTAGTTTGATTTAGACCAGTAATGGTCTTAAAATGAAGTCATTGTAATTCAAGTTAATCTTCAACCATTTAAAATTTTTAAGAATGTATTCCAAGATAATTCATTTCAAACCTACTTTAATAAATTACACATGCACTAATTTGTGGGTATATAATTTCTATATATCATCTGAAAGCCTTTTAAACATCTTTGATAATTAAAAATAGCCATGTAGAAATTAGTAAATTTAGACAAACTGTCACTAACTTTCATGTATTATTAACCAAAAAAAAGTAGCTCAGAGCTTTAACTGTGAATGACTTGATAACATGTCAGGCATCTTTGAGAAATTTGTCCTTGTTACCTAACTGCCTTTCTATTTTCTTCAGGGAATTCATAAGAAAAGAACATTTTTAACAAAGTAGTATAGCCAGTGCTTTGAAATGAAAAACAGTGATTTAAAGCCTTGAGTCATTTTGGTAAAGACAGACCATAAATGAGCTTTCAATTAAGAATTACTATTCGCCAAAGTGGAGGTTAAGTGAAACGATAAAATTAATCCCAATTAGTAAGTATCAGAAGCATTGAGGGAAGAAATGTCACAGAAAACTAAAGAAAAAAGAGGTTACAAAGAAAAAATGGAATGTGTATTCGGATAATTTGCAATTTATAATTCTGTAAGAACTGCTAGAATTCAAACATTTTTAAATAATAGTTCTGGTAAACTAAAATTCAAAATATAATACCTGGGATTCCTCTTTCTCCAAAGAAGAAATTAAACTAATTAGGTAGTTTGTTCTCTGAAATACTCTGCAAATTCCAATTCAGAAGAAGTATACAAAATAGGATAATAATAAAAGGTATTTATAGATGAATAGCTACAATAATTCCAATTTTTGCTACCTCAGCAAGGTACTGTATATATACCACATCAATATAATAGAAATGGCACAGTTTCTGAGGACACGTTCCACATTTTATTTACATTTTAAGACTAACTTTAATCTCAAAATCACATATCCATACACCTATTTCCTTTTTGTTGATTTCACTTAAATGCATGGTTTGTCAAACAAAGACTGTAAACAAATATTTACCATGTCTGTTACATGTAACACACAGGAACGGCTTTTAACAGAAATTCATCGACCTCCCCCACAACATTTTTTTATTATAAATACAGGTATCAAAACAATCCTGAACATATTTTTGATACTACTAGTAGTCAGCACCCACACCGCTTCAAAAATTAACACAATTTGTGACAATATTCATTGTACCTGCTACTTTAGACAATTTCAACTGAAGCTCTTTCACTAAAGCAAGATGGATAAAGCATGCCATTTGTTTTTCCTTCTTGAGATTTTTTTTTTACTTTTCAGAAACACATATGCTTCCACAGCATCTGACTCTTCTCTCCATGCTTTCATCTTGTAAACCTGAATTCTCTTTTGAGTACTCCAGGTTTATGCTTAAATGATAGTGCCTTAACAAGAGAAAAAAAATTGTGCTGCATTTTTCCTCCTGTAACCTGAAAACATAATGGTGTACATATATTAAATACATTCTTACAAATGTCCAGGTCATGTTTACCAGCTGGAATTCTTGTACTTAATGTGTGGGTATTCTGCATTGTGATATTTAATCAAGACATTAACATGAGTAGAAGGTTGTTGATTTAAGACAAGTTTGAGATCCACTAAAATTAATTGTTGTATGTTTGTCCTTCTGGTGGCTGTGGAAGCTTCATATTTTCTTTGGACATCATTAGACGTCTTAGCTCTTGAAGTACAACTTTAATGCTATATGAATTTTGCCATTTTGCTAACACTGGTATGCTCCGTGCATCCACCTGAAATGGGGGGGAAAGAGCAAAATTAACTACAAAGTTTAAAGTACTATGGCACCAATTTATCAAACATATTTTAATGAGAAGAAGTGCTTTTAAAATTCATAGCCTGGCTCTATTTTCACAAAAGAGAACCTTATGAAACTACAGGTTCATATCATACTTAGGAAAAATAGTTACTTCTGTAACAGGTATTTCCTAAAAATATACGTATGTCTTTTGTGAGTATGTGCTTTTCTGTATCTTACAATAAACATGCAGTGAACTTTGGACATCAGAAATAAACAAACGTTACATTAAATAACTACATTGTAAACATATTTAACAATTGCTTCTTGATGAGATAAGGTCTGAAGGTTCCTCTCCATTTCCAATGCCACTACCCAGAATCTGGGAAATTATCTTCACTAGGATTTAGGAAAAAGCTGTGAACCTGATCTCTGCTTTTGGATTTTTCTTTCCAGTGTTTTCTCTGCACTATACTAAAATAACCTTCCACTGAAGAAGATGGACAGAATGGGACTGCAGCTCCTTCAAAGCCTTATTCCCAGATAACTGACATCACTTGACCTGTCTGGCAGTTCCTTGGAAAACCCCACTCGCAGGATTTTCTTTATCTGACCTCAAAATTCACCGATTGAGTACTGCCTGTCACTCCTCCCAACCACATCCACACCTACCCCAGGAATTTGTCAAAAATAATCAGCGTCTATTGTTTTAATATCTCTGCTGCCTGGGGAGACAATACAAACAGGAAGGTGATAAAAATATTTCAGAGGAAAAACTGGGAAATAAGATGTCCATAGGGGCTTTGGAAAGTTCCAACATATCTCTGGGAATCTAGAAGACTACACATTGACAGGGCTGTGCACAGGCTCACAAAAGACTTGATAAACTCCCACCTGTGGCTGACCTTGAGTAACACATAAAAAAGATTACAACCAAGTGGGATTTATCCCAGAAATGCAAGTTTGGCTCAGGATTTTAAAAATTAGTCAATTAATAAACCATATTAATAGAGAACAAAAACCGCAATTATTTCAACAAACACAAAAAGATATTTGATAAAAATCCAACAACTTTCATGATAAATAACACTTAACAAACCAGGAATAGAAGCACTTTCTCAGCCTGAAAAAGGGCATCTATAAAAACCTACAGCTAACATCATACTTAATATCACTGCTACTCAACATGGTACTGGAGGTTCCAGCCAGGCAATCAAGCAAGAAAATGAAATAAGAGGCATCAGACTAAAAAGAATGAATAGATCAATCTCCATTTGCAGATGACATGATCTAGTATATAGAAAATCCTAAGGTATCCATTAAAGAAACTAGCAGAGCTAATAAAAAATACAGTAAAGCTGCAGGATACAGAATCAATTTATAAAAACCATGTCTATATACCTGCAATAAACAATCTGAAAATAAAATTAAGAAAACAATGCCATTTACAACTGGATAAGAATAAAATGCACAGGTCTAAGTGTAGGACTGATATAAGGAAAACTATAAAATATTGTTCAAAACTTAGACCTAAATAAATGAAAAGACATCCTCTATACATGGATCGGAAGACCTAATATTGCTAGGATGACAATACTCCCTTAATGGGCACAGGGTTTCCTCTGAGAAGGACAAAAATGTTCTAAAATTAGATTGTGGTAATGGGTCCACTACCCTGTGAATACTAAAAAAACACTGAATTACATGCACTTTGAATGAATTCTATGGTATGCAAATTATATCACAATAAACTGCTTAAAATAGAAGAGAAAGATAATTTTTAAATAATTCTCTTACAAGTAACTGAAACAGTAAGAAGAGTATTATAATGTTAAGATATACTTAAAGTGCTTACTCTAATGCTTTAACTTATGGAGTAGCAAGCCCCTTAGCCTATTTTAAGTAGACTCCATTAGTGAACAACAGTTTACAAGTGGAGAAAATACGAAGTTCTTTCCAAAGCAGAAACAAACACTTCCAGCTGTAAGGTTACATGATAGTTAAATAAACATAAGTGATTGCAAATCCTGTGAAATACCAACAGAGTACACAAAAAAATTGGGGGAAAAAAGATGGAGAGAGGAGAGAAAAAAAGAGCATGGGAAAATAAATATCATGTCAGAACAAATCTGCATCTTATCATTCTATAATATACAATAAACTCCAAAAGTTGAGACCTCACAGCATAAGTAACTATGATTTACGTTTTAGAGTGCTAACCACCCACAAGGAATAATTCTGTCTTGTTGTATTAAATAAATATAAACCAAAATTACTAAAGCAAAACCCATAATTCATCAAGTACTTAAATAACCTCAAAATATATAAAATTATCCTGGCATATCACCAATGGTCAATGTGAGATTATGGCTATTTATTTACTAGTTATGAAAGTAACACTTTAAATTCTTAAATATCAATCAAAAGAAAAACTGATGTCCAGTGTATTCACCCTACCTCTAACCCTCTACACACTCATCTACACTCTAATAATTAAAATCAGTATTTCCTTTTTCTGTTTACAAATCCCCATTCCAGATTGACAATATGAAGTGTTGGTGAGAATGTACAATCACAGGGTACTGTTATACACAGCTAGCAGGACAGACGTGGATACAGCCCTGTAGAGAGTAAGCTGGCAATATTCAATCAAGTTGAAGGCAAGCCCCACACCTCAGCAGACATTCCACTTTTAGGTGTATGCCCTGGAGCAGCGCTACTCAAAGTATGTTCCATGGAATGATGCCAGGCCTTGAACTAATTTTTTGCTGGTGCACCACAAGATAAACACAGAAATTGAGAGTGTTTCAAGAGTCCTATGATAATTTGACAGAGAAATTTTCATTTAAAAAATCCAAGCTTGTATTTTATCTTTTTTATTTCATTTTCTTGTAATTTTTATTGTATTTTACAAAAGTACTGATCTGTAACATACTGGAACCAACAAACCAACCAATACCCAAGTCTTGAGAAGCACTCCCCTAGGATAAAAGAATACATGTATAAGAATGTCCACAGTAGCAATCTTTTCAGTGAAAATTGAAAACACGGGTGCCTGGGTGGCTCAGTCGTTAAGCGTCTGCCTTCCGCTCAGGTCATGATCCCAGGGTCCTGGGATCGAGCCCCGCATCCAGCTCCCTGCTGAGCGAGAAGCCTGCTTCTCCCTCTCCCACTCCCCCTGCTTGTGTTCCCTCTCTCGCTGTGTCTCTCTGTCAAATAAATAAATAAAATCTTCAAAAAAAAAAAAAAAAGTTGAAAACAGCTTAAATGCCCAGCAAGTAAAAAATAGATTAAGCAATAAAAAGGAACAATCTAATTTAAATGACTCAACATGGATGAAGCTCAAAAATCACTGACAAAAGCAATACAATACAGAAGTATACACACACATGCATAGTAAAAGCACAACAATCATGCTCAGAAATGATAAGCACCAAATTCAAGATGAGACTACGTCTCTGAGGAAAGTGGAAGGGGAAACTGGGGAAAGGTACACATAGCTAACAACTATTTAAAATATAGTCTTTCTTTAAAAAAAGAAAAATATTAATAAAGCTATTACAAACAAGACCAACATTCTAAAATTTGACAAGGGAAATGGAAGATGTTGGTTATATCATTTTCTAAAACTTGTCTACATGTTAAAAATATTTCTTTTAAAAACACCAAAAATGAGGGCGCCTGGATGGCTCAGTTGGTTAAGCGTCTGCCTTCAGCTCAGGTCATGATCCTCGGTTCCTGGGATCAAGCCCCGAATCTGGCTCCCTGCTCAGCAGGGAGTCTGCTTCTCCCTCTCCCTCTGCTCCTCCCCCCTGCTTGTGTGCTCATTCTCGCTCTTCTCTCTCAAATGAATAATCTTTAAAAAAAAAAAAAAAAGACACCAAAAATGAAAAAAAAGAGAAAAGTGGTAATGAACTTATAGTAACTGCTACAAAGAAAAAGATTATCAGAGTAAAAAAAGAACAGAATTCAGACTGCAGAATCAGGAAGGACTCCTCCGAGAAAGTGACATTTACACTAAGAAATGAAGCATCTGTAAGGATTAGCCAGAGTGGAAGAGATGTCCAGACTGAAGAACAGACAGTGCAACAGTCCTAAGGCAAAACGAAAGGTGTGTGGGGCAGTGTGTACCCTGTGAGTCCCAATGAGACACAGCAAAAAGCATGCACAATGAGGCTGAAGTCGTTAAAGGATATTAAAACACAGAAGTGACATGACACAATTTGTATTTTAGAAAGATCCTCTGGCTCCTTGCTCTGCAAAGATTGAAGGAGGTAAAAAGGAAATTCAGAGAGACTGTTGCAAGACAAGAGATGATGGTCAACATTCACTCAGTGGCAATGTAAACAGAAAAGTAAGACCTGACTCAAGTTACATTTTCAACAAAGACTGACAGGACTTATGGTAGATGGGCAAGGGAAGAAAAGCAGAGAGAGAGACAAAATGTCAAAAAGTAGATAAGACACCCATGAGATCAGATAAACTTGTTAAGAGGTGTGCCTGAAATTTAATCCTGAATTTCCTAGTTCCTACAACAATGCAGAACCCACCATTAATTAATTTACAGAGTCTATAATATGAAAACAAACCAGCACTTGAGAAGAACAGCTCCTCCTGGTAGAGAAATTTAACAAAAATATCTTCCTCATAAAGGCAATGCTGTATGTCACAAAAGAAATTCCCTAAACAATACTTTCTGTAAATTCAAAATGTTTTATAATACTGCTTCTATAACATTTCTTAATATTACCTGACATAGAAATAATTATTTCTAGAATAACCATTGGAAGAATAGAAATAGAATTTAAAAAGTTGAGAACAGCCATTTCAAAAGTGGACAAGAAACAGAAACACACGGAAAAACAGAAACCACAAAATAAGGTAATTTATTAAACCTAAATGTATTAATATATTGTATATTAAATGGACTAAATATTCCCAGTAAATTACAAAGACTGACAGACTGACAGGAAGGACTCTCAGGACCCAGCTTTTAGCTGGCATGCACCAGGTAAAGAGGTTTGGAAGTGACCCAGCAGGTCCGGAGCTGAGATTTCCAATGACCTGTTCACCTTCTTCCTGTCAGGATCATGCTTTCATCCAGTGCACCCAGCAGCAAGGCACTAGCCATTCTGGGGCCTAGCTGTGTGCTTGCATATTTGACTGAGGTTTGGGGCTAGAAGGATAACTCTATGTCCAGGGCTTGACTTGTAGCCAGACAGAATTACAAATGTGGAACAGATGAAATGTGGAATATGCTCTATCGTGTTGGAATAGAACTGAAGGTACTAGCATAAACTCATGGTTTTTTTGTTTTTGTTTTTCATTTATTCATCAGAGAGAGCGAGCGAGTGAGCAAGAACGAGCAGGGGGGAGGAGGCAGAGGGAGAGGGAGAAGCAGGCTCCCCGCTGAGCAAGGAGCCCGATGTGAAACTCAATCCCAGGACCCTGGGATCATGCCCTGAGCCGAAGGCAGATGCTTAACGGAGCCACCCAGGTGCCCCATAAACTCATGGTTTTTAATAGATGATATATTAAGGTAGGTATATAGGTAGATAAACAGGAAGAAAAGGAGGAGGAAGGATAGGTAGACACATGTGATACACTGGGTAAAATTTTAAAAAAAGAGCATAAAAGAAAATCTTTAAGATGTTAACTACCATTGGTGAGGAAAAGGAACACGAGGATGGGATGAGGAGGAACACACAGGAAGTTAAGGATATTGATAACACTCTAATTCCTAAGATGGATGAGGTTCATTTTATTATTATGTTGTTGTAACACCTCCTAACATGTATTTTGCATGTCAGTGTACCCTCAACATGGCATCTCAAGAGTCTGGATTTAAAGGTCTTAACATGAGGGACACCTGGGTGGCTCAGTCGGTGAAGCGTCTGCCTTCGGCTCAGGTCAGGATGGAGCTGCGCATCGCGCTCCCTGCTCGGCAGGGAGTCTGCTTCTCCCTCTCTTGCCCCTCCCTCTGCTTGTGCTCACTTGCTCGCTCTCTCTCTAATAAATAAATAAAATCTTAAAAAAAAAAAAAAAGTCTTAACATGGACCTTAACAAACTACTCATACTGAAATTCAGCCTTTCCACTAACTTCCCTGTGTGAATCTGGTAGAACATGTCATTTTGGTTTATTTGCTTTCAACAGACCAGTGCTTAACCTGTTTGTTCTAATACAGACATACTTGTTCCTCAAAGAAAAGCCTCCTCTTTAAGAATATTCATCTTTTTAATTTCACCAAATGTACCTTAACCTAAAGAAAAATAACATTCAAAAGGAAATAATGGTCTTCTTTTCACCAAATAAGGATTCAACCAAAATATGACTACTGAAGCAATTAATAAAACCCTAAGAAAATTGCTGTCATCACATCTAGCTAGGCTGGTACATAAAGGTTTTTTAAGGATAGGTTGATTTATAAGAGAAAAACAACATTAAGATTAACTTCTTTTAACTTCCAGCTAAACAAGGGTCCTTTTTAAATTTTGTTTCTCCTGACTACATATTATTCATTATATAAGAATAAAATGACTATTTTAACTTACCATTCCACTGGAATTATTAATTCCATTCATATTAATTTTGGTTACAAATCTAACTGATGGAGGAGCTTCTGGGTATTTAGGTCCACATTCTACTTTCAGGCTATATATTCTGTTTTCATAATTTGTCTGAAAGGCAAAAAATAATAATAGTAATAATAATAATAATTATATTCAAATGCTAATAAAGAGGAAAAGTACAATATGAATATATTTGATGTTACTTTATGATCAAGAATTTGCTTTTTTCTACATTGAAATTTATTTGACTTATATGGTCAGAAAAAATGGAGCAAGCATACTTAAAGTCAAGATTTTATAATATTAAAATAATTCTACAAAGTAATATCGAGACAATCAGAACTTGCTTTTTGTGGTACAAACAATGCCTATAACAAAATTAAAAGTAAAAAACAAAACAAATTCAGATTTTGTTAAAAAAAGTTTACATTGTGGGGGAGGGACTACTTGACTTGTATCAAACATATGTAAAGGTTTCCATTTGTCCAGAACAATTCTATCTATTCCTACTGTCCCAGTATTAATTATTAACAACACTTCTTCACTCTCAAAAGGGTCTGGCTGGACAATAAACTACACGGTTACTCCATTTATACAGCAATCAAAAGCTTCTAGCTAAAGGGAAACCGGCATATTATACCACCTTACGGCAATAAAACAATTATTTCATGCCCATTATATTTATATTACTTCATTAACCTTGTGATTCATTAAATTCCATTTTCAGAGCTCTAACAGCAAGCTTTATGTCTCCATTATCATTTTAAAATAGTTTCTTAATTAAGAAGTTGAGTATCACCACATTATAAAACAACTATTTTAAAGCTCCCAAATAAAGTACTTCCAGATTATTTAGGCTTATTTTCATGCTATAATTAACTCTTTATCTTATGGCTTTTGCTCACTTGGTTAACTTATTAATGTACAATTAATAATAGTAAAGAAAAAAATAAATGAAAGTGACAAATTTAATACCTGTTGTTTCCTGCATAAACCTGGAAAAACAAATTAGCTAACCATCTATAAATTTCACTTACCCAAACTGATCCACAGCTTCCTTTCCCTTAAGAGCTATTCCCAAGTGGAGGTCAGATCTGGGATATTAAACTACTGTAATTTAAAGTGTATGCAACAATCTTGTACATATGATTATTAAATATTTTGACACTTTAAAAAGAAACACCTGTATAAAAGTCATCCCAGTTTAACAGCACACATCAATTAACAACATGCCCAGCACTTTGGATATGTATAGAAAGGACTAAAATCAGGGAGATCTCAAGGAAATCATTCAGTCTGTGGTTCTCCAATCTGGATACACATTAGCCTCTCTGTAAAACTTGCATTAAAAAATAGTAATAGCCCCCAAGAAATTCTACAATGTCGGAAATACTCACTGTATGTGGAAACAACCAGAACTCTCACACTTTGCTAGGAATAGAGAATGGTATAACCATTTTGGAAACAATTTGGCCTTTTCTTATAGAGAGAAATAAGTGTCCATCTACCCTATGATGTAGCAATTCCAATCCTAGGCATTTTATCCCCCCAAAAATGGAAACAAACATGTTCACAAAAGACTTTTAAAAGAATGCTCATAGCAGCTTTATTTCTAATAACCACAAAGTAGATAAAATCCAAATACCATGAACACATTGTGGTACAGATCCATACAATAAAATACTACAGTAATAAAAAGAAAGACACTCCTACCATATGGAACACAGCTGAATCTGTAAGATACTGTGCAGAGTCAAAAGAAGCAGACCAGTAAATACGAACACTGCATGATTCCACTTATACAAAGTTCTACAACCTGCAAAACTGCTCCAAGGTGCAGGAAGTAGTGCCTGGGGTGGAGGTGGGAAGAGGCACAGGTGACTGAAATGTTCTATATCTAGAATATAGGCAACAAGGTGTATTTGTGGAAACTCATGGTAAGATTTGTACATTTCATTATACGTAAGTTAAAAAACTCTAAGCTAGCCTTTTGATCTAATTCAATGCTTAGAGTAAACATCATCTAAACTTTGGACACCTTGGACTAATTTTATAACCTCTAAATTTTATTTTTTTTATTTTTTTATTTATTTTACTTATTTATTTGACAGAGAGAGAGACAGCAAGAGAGGGAACACAAGCAGAGGGAGTGGGAGAGGGAGAAGGAGGCTTCCCGCCGAGCAGGGAGCTCATCCATGCAGGGCTCGATCTCAGGACTCCGGGATCATGACCTGAGCCAAAGGCAGACACTTAACCGACTGAGCCACCCAGGCGTCCCTATAACCTCTAAATTTTAAAAAACAGCCACATCTTTCTATTATCTAATAAAATAGTAAAATAAAAAAGTAAAAAAAGGAACTAATATTTACTAAATATATACTAGTCAGGCACCTTCCTATTGTCTAATTAAGTCATTTAATCCTCCATATTTCTTTAAGATTTATTTGAGAGAGAAAGAGAGCACTTGCACATGCGTGAGCAAGGGGATGGGTAGAAGGAGAGAGACAATCTCAAGAAGACTTCGTGCTGACCCCGACACAAGGCTCAATCCCACAAGGCTGAGATCATGACCTGAGCTGAAATCAGGAGTGAGACGCTTAACCGGCTAAGCCACCCAGGCGCCCCTTTATATATATATATATATATAAAAAGATGGATATAGTATCTTTATTTACACATGAGAAAACTTGGGAAAGTTACTAAACCTCTAATGCTAAAAAAGATTGCTTCAGAAAATTTAAAACACAAACATATATGGAAAAACAAAATTGCTAATCATATAAATCCAAACAAATACTGGAATAACATAAAGAAACAGGGATCTTAATAATGCATAAAACAATTTAAAAACCATTAACCAAGTAACAGTATGGTAAGGTAAAAATTTTCCCATTATCCGAGTTAGATGTAGATACCTAAAGCTGAGGACAAACTGCTCTAAACCTGGTACCTTCTAAAGAGAAAACAACTAAGGTGAGACAGCAACCCCTGCAGGTTTTATTAAAAGGCAACTGAGGGCACCTGGGTGGCTCAGGTCATGATCCCAGAGTCCTGGGATCAAGCCCCGCATCGGGCTCCCTGCTCAGCCGGAAGCCTGCTTCTCCCTCCCCCACTCCCCCTGCTTGTGTTCCCTCTCTCACTGTGTCTCTCTCTGTCAAAAAAATAAAATCTTTAAAAAAAAAAAAAAATTCAAAAGGCAACTGAATGAGTGCACAAGGCATTCACCCCACTGGGTCCCATATGCCTCAGTGAGGAAGGTTAAGTGGAGAGAAAGCGGGTGATGCAAGGCAGAAATCACTGGCTGGCTGGAAAGATGCTGTGCCTTTTTAAGGTGCTCCCCTCTTGCCTCTTCCTGGCACCCAAAGGAAGTGAGAAGAGGCTCCAAGACCCCCACCCCCAGAAAGGGGGAAGGCCCAATGAACAGAAGCCCAGCATGGCCACTGGCGGCACTGTGTCTACATGCCCTTTTCAAGCAAGCCAGGCCCACTCCTCCCCAAGCTAGAGCAGCCTTCACTGTGCACTGGGCATAGCCTGGACACAGGAGCTTCCTGCAGTTCAGTGACACCAGGAAAGGCAGCTAATCTGGGGAGCCCAGCTGGTGACACCAACGGTGTGAGATCAAGTGGGAGCTGCTCTTCCATATTTGGGAACTACGCTATGGGACAGCCCACAGAACCACTAAGGAACTCATACACAAGCTTCAAAACATTCCTAACATTTGAAGTCCATTGGAGGTAGTGCCTGGAGAAAAACGAAATCTAATAATTTCAAATTTATATTCTACCAAGTTCAGACTGTCAAATCTTCAAACTATTCATTAAGAATGTTCATAAATTACATCACTTTTTTTAACCAAACATGGTAATAATGTTCATAGGCACTGAAAATCAAGGTTTTCATTACAAATACCAAGTTATAAAATACATCAATATTACATTTCCTTCCTCAACTATCTTATAGAAAAATCAAAGCAGTGGAAGGAAGTGGGAGTTTGTTAGGTTAAGTAGTGCGCTCAAATCTTGCAAAGGAATACCAGAAAATATAAAGCATACATTAATTAACTCTCTAAAGTTAACACTGCTGATTACTTGGATCCATTTTTCTTTTGTAATAATCAAGAGGAAATCTAAACTCTACCCAACAGCAAAACAGTTGAAATGCTCTCATCATAAGGTAGCCAACAGTATACAAACTGAAGACTAAAAAAAAAAAAAAACCTTCAAATTGGTGTTCTTGCCAGTAAGTCAAAAACATTACGCAATATATATTTCAAAGACTCACTGCCAAGAGTGCTGTAAATGGGACCTTTGAGTAAGGAATGCAATGTAGAAAAATATTTCCCAGTCTGGAAAAGATTCTGAGTACAAATAAAACTTCATAAACTTGAGAAAGACCTAAGAATAAAACACAATTGGATCTGTTGCCAACAATGCTGGAAAATATGCAAAAATCACAGACTTTTCTCTATACTTTATTAATGAAGAAATTGAGGCCTATAGCATTTACAAGGCAAGTCAAATGTCAAAAGGGCAAATAGCAGTATGCACTCAAAACAAACCAATTTAGAAACCCTTGGTTACACACATAGCAGATTAGTAACATGTTATGTCAAAATATACTGTTTGCTCTTCCCAAATACCCCTCCATTTCCTCACCTTTTCTCCTCTCTATCTGGAATGTTCTCCATCCCCATCACCACCTTCTGAAATCCTACCAGTCAGTCCTTTAAGGCTCATTCCAAAGGCAACTTCCTCCACTGTTCAGCCTTCCTCAATTATTCCAGCTAGAAGAAACATATTCTAAAGTCCCGTAGTGAACTTTCTCTGCCATATTTAAAGTCTGTCATTTGTACTTATTTTTTCTCCTCTACTCAACTGCTAACACCTTGACGGCAATGACCATATCAATCTCTTCCCCCCAGGTCTCCATAAAATCAAGCATTATACCTTACACGCAGGAAGCATCAATAAAAGTATACAAAATGAATTAAAAGGGAGGAATTGTTTCAGTTAGAGGTGATAATTATTTTAATATCAATACTATAAAAATGCTTACTCTAAAATGACAATAAATAATAAAAAATATATAATTTATAGCACTGACCCTTGGTGGCCCAATAATCATGCCTGTCCACCTTGTAAGTGTCATATCTTCATCATCTTCAAGGCCCCAGCTAACCGTACCATCGCCTACTCCTTTTTGTCCTTCTTCAAGTTCTTCCAACAAGCGAAAATTACGAGGAACTTTAACTCCTATACAAAAGAATGTCAATGTAAATGTAAAAAGCCCATAATTACAAGAGCTACATATATTCAAATTCAGCTTTTTCCAAATTAACTTTTATAAATTATTTCCCCAAAAAGACAAAATTCCCTTTAAGCATTCTGCTCAGAAAATGCTCAATCTAAAAACTGCTCAAAATGTTAACGCTAAAGAAATCACTGTACCAAATATTTACTGCAACACAGAACGTGTATATAAATTCCTAATTAATCAATGTTATCCTGACATAAATCAATCATAAAGAAATCATTATAAAATGAATATTTTCCATAATTTAGATTTCTGTTCCAAGCCCAGAACAATGCATCAAATAAATGGGCAAAGACGAAAGTTCATAAAAGCTCAAATTTATTAACACTCTCTTATGCTTTTTAAAGAATAGAATTATGTTCCATCTTTAAAAAAAAGCACTAGAGGGTACTATTTTTTTCTAGAATGCTGAAGCAGCCCCACCCACAGTCCCGTCAGTCTCCTTTCCTTTTCTCACCCCAAACCAGTAAGGTCTTACCTCTTCCATGTCAGAACAGCGCTTAATCATCACTTGGAGAGTTCCTCCATTTAGGAACAACTTTCCTCATGGGTGTAAGTTTCCTAAGACTTGCCCTTCAACTCTGGGCCCAACCTAGCAACTGTTGATCCACTAGCCCTTCTCATACCTGCCTTTCTTTAGACCTCATTACCCCTACTTTATATCTAAAATCTTTTCTTTTTTTTTAAGATTTTATTTATTTGACAGAGAGAGACAGCGAGAGAGGGAACACAAGCAGGGGGAATGGGAAAGGGAGAAGCAGTCTTCCCACAGAGCAGGGAGCCCGATGCAGGGCTCGATCCCAGGACTCTGGGATCATGACCTGAGCCGAAGGCAGACGCTTAACAACTGAGTCACCTAGGCGCCCCTATATCTAAAAGCTTAACACAGACGTCTTGCCCTTTGCCTAGAATCTCCTAGCATTTCACAGTTTTCACTCTTTCATTCTCAATAAACCTGGTCTTTGCCACCATTGTGACCTCCAACCCCTAGAATCCAACCATGATTCTTCTAATTGACCATAACCTTTCCCAAAATTATTGGCCTGGCCTTTCCAAAGGATGGACCCTGTGGCTCCCATGTTCTCAGCAGCACCTAGTTTGAAACATCCCCCAGTCCGACCACTTAAGTCTTGAAAAAATTATGTAAATGCCCCTAGAAGCCTCTCTCTCTGGCTCTGGAGCTTGCACACATATGCTTGAGCACTCTCTCTCTCTCATGTATGCACACACACAATTATGAAACAGAAAGAATTGACATCTCTTGCATTTTTTTTTTTTAGACATCTCTTCTAAAGAAACTGTCATTTTGTGTAACTTCTTTCTTGGTACTAATTCAGAGTAATCCTTCTGGACATACAATAAAAACGCAATAAATATTGTAACTTATAAAGAACACTAGCCATTTTAGATACTATGCTTTATACAAAAAAATGCTTGAAAATTCTGGGCCACAGAAATATGGAGCGGTCATAAATTACAAGAAACAAGAGTAGTCATTATTACAACTACTATGATTACTAATAACCACTTGTTCAGCATACATTATGTGCTACTTTAAGCAAATTATCCCATTTAATCCTAAAAGCACCCATTTTACAGTTAAAGGAACTAGGATATGAAAAAGTTAGGTGACCTACCAAAGTCACACAGCTATAAGAAGCAGATCCTCAGTTTCTAGACCAAAGCCACTTTTAACCATCAAGTTGCACAGCAGTACAAACTACGCAGGCAGGATGTGAGGGTCTGGCTGTGACATCTGTCACCCCACTGATCGCCAAGGTTGATTCAGCTGATCTGACTGGCTAGGCTGGTGTCCCCTTCCTCCCTCACCACTCCATGTGCGTCCCTCCCGAAGCTGCGCGCTCAGTCGAAGAAGATGACCTTCCCCGATAGAGGAGGACCATTCTTCGGTCAAGGGTATACGAGTAGCTGCGCTCCCCTGCTAGAACCTCCAAACAAGCTCTCTAGATCCATTTGTAGGAGAATGTAGGGTAGTCAAGTTTCCAAGACTCCAGACACATCCAAATGAGGCACTGCATGTAGCAGTCTGCTTTTCTTGGGGGGGGGGGAACCACACAGGCAGCATATTCTGGCACAGATCTAAATTTCAGACTGCCCAAGTCCAGTTCTGCTAACCACTTGATATGTGACCGCCCCCAGCCCTGTTTTCTTGCCTATAAAAGCGAGGTAACAGTAGTTCCTACCTCATGAAATCACTGTGAAATTAAACAAGGTAATCCATCTTAAATCCAATAAATGTTGACTATGATGATAATTTTAGTATTTGTTTTTAAACAGAATTACATAAAAGTTCTATTAACCTCCATCTAAGCTATGTGAGAAGAAAAGCTCTTTGTACAACCCTGTAGGGTGGACCCTAGAAATTGTATCCTAAGCTGTAAGTTTCTATTCACCTAACATTGCTATTTTCCTATAGAGTCATGACCTCTAAAATATATTGCTACTGAATTGTTTTTTTAAAGTAATCTTAAATGAGTTTGATTACTCTTATCCAAGAATTATTAAATTTGCGTTGAATTTTGTTGCCTCCTATTTATAAACAATTCAATCAAGTGACCTTTATGGCCACCAAAACTACAAAGTGAACAATGTAAAATTAATGTTTTTTTTTTTACATAAGTGCCATAAAAGTGATAAACCTAGTTACTGCTAAACTTTTCACCCTTTCTTTATATAGCTTTTTGGGGAAATAGTTCTAAGATTGATAGATCAATCACTGACAATACTAACATTCAAAAAGTTATAGCAGCTAAGACTACTTTCCTTTTAAAATATAAGACAAACGATAACCAAAAAACACTGTGCCATATTTTCAAATTCAGGACTAGAGCACTCTGGCTTTATTTCACCCAACCACTAATGTCTGTGAAGAAAAAAAAAAGCCACAAGATGGGGATGTTGTTCCATGAAAACTGAAGTATTACATAAACTGCCTTCTGGATCTCTGCCATCTACGAGCCTTTTTCTATAGTTCTACTTGTCTTTTTCCTATATGTCTGTGTGTGTTGTTTTTTAATAGTTTTAAATATTTTACTCCCTTAGTCTGGGATCTTCATTAAAAAAAAAAATAGTAACCCACAAATCTACCTCTTTCTAGCTGAAACTTTTAAAATGTTGTCAATTTTTGGTCCAGAAGAACACCAAAGATCATCCAGTCCAAAACTTAACACTTTAGAGGAAAGAAAATTATCACAAAAAGTCACTTAACTGTTAGTTGACAAACCAATTCAAAAACCGATCTCCAGGCTTCTCCACTAATCTAGTTTTCTCTTGAGTAGATTACAATGTAACCTGCACTTCCTAGGGATAACACCAAAAATATTACCATCCATTAACACAAACAACCTAGAAAACATGCTTCCAGCTTTTTAAATCTGAAAGAAATCAAATTCCAAATCACCTGCCTTTAACTCCCATGATACCAAAAATAAAGGCATAAAGACTACCAAATAAATAGAATAAATCTTGCCATGCCATATTTATTAGGAAAAAAGATTTCCCAACTTTAATTTACAAATTTTTACCTTTTTCAAGTTACAGCGAAAAAGGTATAAGACCCTGAATGTAATAAATCTGTCAATCTATCCATACAAACATGAGAAACGATAACAAAGCAAATCTATCAGTTTGCAATTAATCATCTAAATTAAGATAGTTCTAAAGTAACACTAAAAAAAAGATGAGAGGTAGTGCAGTTTTAGAGAGGGCAGTGTGGATTCCAGTTCCAGCTGATGGTAAACAGTCTAAGATGTACAAAAGTCCCCAAAATTCAGGAATAATTATTGTTACCATTTAGTGTACTTCTCTTCAGATTACTTTCCATACACAATATATGATTTCCGCATGTTACCAAAATGAGATGATGACTCATAGCTTTGTAACGTCCTTTTTCCCCTACTTATGAACATATTTCTATGGAAGACATTATCAAGTGCCATTTTAAAATGCCCCAATGAATAACATTAGTCTTGCCTGAGGGGCAGGAGTAGGGAGACCGGACCAGAGGAATCATCGCCTACTCAAAAATTAAAGGAAAACACCTGTAGGGATGGAGTAAACCTTTTCTGTGTTATGTGCTTTAGCTGGTCCTCAAGAACACCCAAGTTGGCCATGGGTCCCTTCCTCTTATCCTACTACGCAGAATACCTATGAGGTTAAGGAAGAGAGTATCTGGGGCATGTGTGCTGTGGTATGCAGCCAGGCCGTTTACCTGCCCCCTGCAGAGTTCTTAGGTGTGGGCTGCAACAAACCTGAGCAGACACACTGTTAAGATGGAACTCATGAAAAGTCCCACCTGTGATTTTAGTTCTCTGGTTCTGCCCCATTTTGGGAGTTCTGAGTTCTCCTCAAACCCCCAACAGACTGACTTGATTAAAGATAACATATTTATTGAGCTCCTCCTATGAGACAAACATCTGCTAAAAGTTTTACAGGCAGAAAGTACTTCATTAAATCTCACCTTGTAAACTGATATAATATCACCATTTCACTAGGTAAGAAAATTAAAGCTTAAATTATTAGGTTGAACCTTATAAAATGAAACTGCTACTATTCAGGCATCTTTTTAACCAACAGAAAGAGTAATCTCATAAAATTCAATCTAATTATATGGAGAGTGAGTGAGTCAGGGTTGAAGCTTAGCCATTATTCCCCAATGCCTCCTCTGGAACCCACTAGTCCCGGATGGAACTCATTTCCCTGGCTACTGCTAACTTGTCCCCAGTCTCTGCAAATCTGATGGGCATGAGAGACACATCTTGCCCAACTGTGGAAGCAACTCTGACAAAATACATACTGTTCTGAACTCTCTTGAAAAGAACCTTTCCATACGTCACAGACTGGGTGTACTCAAAGCAAAACATTCCTATCCAGTGAAATAACATAGCATTTTATATTTTTCAAATTACTTTCTCATACA